AGTGGTAGTTATGGTGTGACATTGAAAGACCCCATTCACCCAAGAGATTTTAATCCAATTTGTATTCCTTATAATGTGACTGAACTGGAACAAGATTTTAAAGCTGGGTTGCTGGAAACATGTCCTAGCTCTTCAGCTCTGCCTTTTTTATCTTCAGCTAAAGAACCCAGGCAAACAGAGGAAGAAGTCAGAGCTTTCATCAGCAGTGATGTTAATGTCTGTAAAGAAGAAAGTGTTCAAAGTGTACATGTATATTCAATGAATGATTATGCCAAAGTGTTTGTTTCTATTAATACTGATAAAGTGATGCCTACAGTTTCTAAAGAACTTGCAAATTATTGAATCCCTTGAGTCTATTCCATTTAATGGAGAGCAAGCAGAAATGATCAACAAGAAAACTGTCTATCATTCCTAGTCTCAATTTTGGTTTGATCAAAGGGCAGGAAGAATTACGGCTTCCTCATTTTACACTGTGTGCCACCTTAGAGAGAGCACAGACAGAAGAAACACTATTAAACATCTCATGAATTACTGTCCAATTGCTGAAGATGCCATGCCACGACAGTTGACATGGTGTCATGAAAAAGAAAAGTGAGCACTTGGTCTTTACATAAAAAAACAGAACAAAAATCATGAGAAGTTGTCAATAGAAAAAAGTGGACTCATTGTAAACACATTATGGCCCTTTTTGGGAGCCAGTCCTGATGGTATAAGGATTTGCACTTGCTGCCAAAAGAAGTTAATAATTGAAGTTAAAAGCATGTATGCAAAAAGAAATGTCCCTCCACATGTTGCAGCTGAGGAGAACCTCATGCTTGTGGATGGCAAGTATGAAATTAAAAAAGAAACCAAATGGAACTACCAAATCCAGGGACTGATGGGGGTAACAGGGATTCATTGCTGTGATCTAGTTATTTATACCCTCAAAGGAATATTGATTGTAAACGTTAAGTTTAATAGTGATTTGTGGAAAGAAATTCTCCAAAAGCTGAGAAACTTGTTTGTGGAGTATATAGTTCAGGAACTATTCCATCATGACATACTTGAGTCATTATAGAGTGACTGCCATTAGATGCTGATTGTAAAAGTGAAGGTGCTTAAATAGTGTTTTTGTCTGTGCTGGATTAGATACCACATAATTTTATTGATATGTCTCTGGATACTTTTAATACATTTTTCATTTACCATTTACAAACACTACGTTGCAATCACTTCCACGTCACAATAACTTGGTGTACTTTTCTGCTCTCTGGACAAATGGGTCAGTCATTTGGCCAGTGGTGGTAGCAAATTCCTCAGAGTAGCACAAACACTTAGAATATTGTCTGCAATGGGTAGCATTTGAAGAAGGAAGTTCCCTCCCGTGGATCCGAACACTTGCAATGGTACGGGTAGATTTTACTGCCTTTTTTGAAAGTTGCTTTCCTGTGTAAGAGGAGAAAAAAGGTTTTTGAATGAAGTAAATGCCAATTCAAAAGGTACCGATAGTAAAGTACTTGCTTTTTTGGAAACCTTTTTTCGAAACAAAACCTATACTAAATTATTGGATGGGTAGAAGTGGCAAACCACTGCCCCACACCAGCTTTTTCTGAATTTTCTGGATCCACCCCTGCTAAGTAAACATGTTTGGAAGTTAGTACAGACTATCTTTATCTATGAACAGTTCAACTTAACCCTATAATATAAAAAATATTCCAAAGAAACTTTTTCTGTTTAGTTAGAAAGATCCTTTTTACGAGCAACAAGTTATGGATGCTGTTATATCTTTTTTTTTTTTACTTTGTCCAGGGAGACTTTCTCTTTGATCTTAGCATACCCTCGTCCACCCCTACCCCGTTAGCTCCCTTTATTGGAAAGGTACCTTTGCAAAGTGGTGGGATGTTAAGTGCAACTTTCTTTCTTGTAAGCAGATCTCTGATGTTGAACCCCTTGTCGGCCATAACAGAATCACCCTCTTCAAGTTTGTCCAGTAGACCACTTCTTTCTGTGATGTATCTGTCACAGACATTTCCAGTCCATAGTTTAGAAACAAAGGAGAAGTAACCTGACCACTTTCTGATCAGGCAAGACCATGGTTTCGGTTCTCCACACGAACCTCATCAGTTGCCGGGTTGGGTTTGTGCTTGGTGGCTTCTACAAGAGCAACTTTAGTTGTACTTTGTCGTGGCGAGAACGGTACAGCCGTTCTGTCTATTGAGCTTTGAACTTGACCATAAATACCCACGTGGCGGATCGAAATTCTTGTTTTCCTATTGGCCTCTGAACGTAACCAATTACGGAGTGTGTATTTCGATCCTTTTCTGCTTCAAGCTAAAGGTGTGTTTTTTTGGAAAGCATTTCGTGAAAATTTAAGCACTGATCACAAAGTGGCGATAACAAAACAGTTTAAAGGCTGTTAAGCTTATTACCAAGGGAGGAACTATGCGCTCCAGTCAAAAGACTCACGCACTATCTTTAGAAAAACACTAAGCTGGAGTTTACTGAGTCACAATTCAATTCTCCATAGTAAGTTGATGTAGCTTCAGTTTAAGCTGCACTTCATTCTTATAATTTGGCATCTGCAAATCACTATCCGTGATAATATAACATTCTGCAGAGAAAACTAACGAGCAGGGCCCAGCGTGATACAGCGTTGCAGAAAAACATTACACTCACGGACTAAAGAAAATCGCTTAGTTATTCAGATCCAGAAGGCAGTTTGGAAAAAAATTGGAAACCTTATTCAGCCGTAATAAAAAAGCTTTACGCTTCAAAAGAGGTCAAGGGAAATGCGCTTGTATAAGAGGGCAAATCCTGCCGACCAGAAACAATAACTACTGTGAATCGATATGTATGTCATGACCTCTCAGTGTGAAACATGCGGCAAAAATTGCATTTGCTCAGTGAAAATGTAGAAACTTCCAGAGCATAATCTACCCAGCAGAGAAAAAAAAATTTATTGGAATGGGCAATATTTTGTCATGAGGTAAAAGTCGTGTAGGCCTACCACCCCCTTTTATTGCTAACAACGACGCACACACTCTCTCAGTAAGCCTACAAAATCCTCCCCTCTCCTTGCAAACAATCCACACACTTGATGTTGTCAGTTAAATGATGGCGTTCCATTTCACACAGCAAAGATGGGAGAGTGAAAATAGCTCTTTCCAGTGCCGTCTCAGCCGCCATTTTCTTTTTCTGTAAGTCGCGCAAAGAATGTTGGGATTTGGTGAAACCAATCGATCGTGACGATATGAAATCGATAACAAGTAGGACGAAAATGTGGAAGAAGTTCTATATTTCAAAAAGTAAGTTGTACTCAAACAATGCTAAGTCGTGTATTTCGTAGGTGAGTTATAAAAACTGCCGTAAGTCAAACATGTAAACAACACGTCGTTAATTGCAAAACATCCTTGATGTCTACAAGTTAAAAGTTTTGTGAATAGATCGATAAGTGGTTTGTTTGACAAACAAGTTGTACATATTTTGTTAGAAGTCAAGTAAATGAAGCTGAAAGTCGTAGACCTAACAGCAAAGTTGTAAATGTATTGTAGGAAGTTATCTTCGACAAGGATAAGTTGTGTATAAATTCACACAAGTTGTACACAAATTCACACAAGTATTTTTGTCCCCTATGGCGCGTCATAATTTTCTGATTAGAATATCCGAGTAGACGCAACGAGAATAGACTACGAGTAGTCCCCCATTTTTCCTACAACTACAGATTCTGTAAGTTTGCGAAATGAGAATCTGTAGTTTGCGAAATGACAGTCTGTAGTTTACGAAATGACAATTTACTTTCTCGTTGCATCTACTCGGATATTCTAAACAGAAAATTTCCCCCCAAAAAACTGTTTCGCCCAGAAAAGTTTAACTTAGCTCAGGCGCCCAAGTTAAGCCCTGTCAGTCGGGGTTACAAACTGGATGGGTGACCCACCGCGAATATCGTCTTAAAGGTCCATACGTTGTTCTTTCTTTTCTTCTTCTTCTTTTTTGCGTATTATGTGGTATTATTGTTAACAGTGTATTGAAAAGCAGATTTAGCATTATTTCTGCGTCCGGATTTAGAAAAGGAAAAAAAAAACAAAGAACAAATATGGCCCGGTGCAGTTCGCCCGAAAATTACTATTCTTCGGGCCGTAATACAGAGCTGGAACTTTGCAGACTTTGACTATATATCGGCGGCGAAACCGGTAAACTAAGAAATCTGGGTTTTCGACAGTGTAAAACGATCATAAAGGCCGACACACACGAGGGGTTTTGCTCCCGGAGCATGCTCCAGGATCATTTTGCACGTGCCAGTACACACGAGGGAGCGTTATTTACCCGGGAGCTTGCTCCCAAGTATTTAACCAGTTAAATATCGTGGAACATTTTGCGGGGTGGAAATTCTGCTTGCGAGGATGTAGTATACCCATGAAATCGTTGGTACACACAGAGGAGCTTTGCTCCGGATCGTNTTGCATCTACTCGGATATTCTAAACAGAAAATTTCCCCCCAAAAAACTGTTTCGCCCAGAAAAGTTTAACTTAGCTCAGGCGCCCAAGTTAAGCCCTGTCAGTCGGGGTTACAAACTGGATGGGTGACCCACCGCGAATATCGTCTTAAAGGTCCATACGTTGTTCTTTCTTTTCTTCTTCTTCTTTTTTGCGTATTATGTGGTATTATTGTTAACAGTGTATTGAAAAGCAGATTTAGCATTATTTCTGCGTCCGGATTTAGAAAAGGAAAAAAAAAACAAAGAACAAATATGGCCCGGTGCAGTTCGCCCGAAAATTACTATTCTTCGGGCCGTAATACAGAGCTGGAACTTTGCAGACTTTGACTATATATCGGCGGCGAAACCGGTAAACTAAGAAATCTGGGTTTTCGACAGTGTAAAACGATCATAAAGGCCGACACACACGAGGGGTTTTGCTCCCGGAGCATGCTCCAGGATCATTTTGCACGTGCCAGTACACACGAGGGAGCGTTATTTACCCGGGAGCTTGCTCCCAAGTATTTAACCAGTTAAATATCGTGGAACATTTTGCGGGGTGGAAATTCTGCTTGCGAGGATGTAGTATACCCATGAAATCGTTGGTACACACAGAGGAGCTTTGCTCCGGATCGTACCCCATGGAGTATGCTCCGGGAGCAAACCCCTCGTGTATATCGGCTTTAACGCCTCTGATTCCAATCTCCTATTCCTCTGTCTCTTGTTGTCGGCGTTGCTTACGCTGTGCTAAGCGATGTTCCTTCTGTCTTCTCCTTCGTTGTTCACGCTGAATTTAAAGTCGGCATTCTCCAGAGGATTTTCATTTCGCAAACTACAGATTCTCATTTCGCAAACTAGCAGATTTTCATTTCGCAAACTACAGATTTTCATTTCGCAAACTACAGATTTTCATTTCGTTTCGTTCCATTTCGTTTCGTTTCATTTCGTTTCGCTCCATTTCGTTTCGCAAACTACAGTAAGCCTCTTAAAGGTCCATACGTTTTTCTTTCTTTTCTTCTTCTTCTTTTTTGCGTGTTATGTGGTATTATTGTTAACAGTGTATTGAAAAGCAGATTTAGCATTATTCCTCCGTCCGGATTTAGAAAAGGAAAAAAAAACAAAGAACAAATATGGCCCGGTGGAGTTCGCCCGAAAATTATTATTCTTCGGGCCGTAATACAGAGCTGGAACTTTGCAGACTTTGATCTATATATCGGCGGGGAAACCGGCAAACTAAGAAATCTGGGTTTTCGACAGGGTAAAACGATCATAATGCCTCTGATTCCAATCTCCTATTCCTCTGTCTCTTGTTGTCGGCGTTGCCTTCGCTGTGCTAAGCGATGTTACTTCTGCTCCGCGGTTTCTTGTTGACGACTCTTCTCCTTCGTTGTTCACGCTGAATTTAAAGTCGGCATTCTCCAGAGGATTTTCATTTCGCAAACTACAGATTTTCATTTCGCAAACTACAGATTCTCATTTCGCAAACTACAGATTTTCATTTCGTTTCGTTCCATTTCGTTTCGTTTCATTTCGTTTCGCTCCATTTCGTTTCGCAAACTACAGTAAGCCTCTTAAAGGTCCATACGTTTTTCTTTCTTTTCTTCTTCTTCTTTTTTGCGTGTTATGTGGTATTATTGTTAACAGTGTATTGAAAAGCAGATTTAGCATTATTCCTCCGTCCGGATTTAGAAAAGGAAAAAAAAACAAAGAACAAATATGGCCCGGTGGAGTTCGCCCGAAAATTATTATTCTTCGGGCCGTAATACAGAGCTGGAACTTTGCAGACTTTGATCTATATATCGGCGGGGAAACCGGCAAACTAAGAAATCTGGGTTTTCGACAGGGTAAAACGATCATAATGCCTCTGATTCCAATCTCCTATTCCTCTGTCTCTTGTTGTCGGCGTTGCCTTCGCTGTGCTAAGCGATGTTACTTCTGCTCCGCGGTTTCTTGTTGACGACTCTTCTCCTTCGTTGTTCACGCTGAATTTAAAGTCGGCATTCTCCAGAGGATTTTCATTTCGCAAACTACAGATTTTCATTCCGCAAACTACAGATTCTCATTTCGCAAACTACAGATTTTCATTTCGTTTCGTTCCATTTCGTTTCGTTTCACTTCGTTTCGCTCCATTTCGTTTCGCAAACTACAGTAAGCCCCTTATCAGCCCAACCAACAATGGCGCCATTTTGCTGAAAATTTTCTGAAACGCCTGCAACATGCGCTTAGCGCCTGTTATGCAGGCCTTAAATTTGCATATGCAAATTCAGATTATTCCAAGAAAAGACAGCGGTCTACTTCCCTGTATCCAGTGCTGTTGCGCCCGTTGCATAGTGCATGGAAAGGAAGATGAGGTTTTCAGTGGTTCAGACCTTTTTGCTGTTGATCGTGCTTCTGTTTGTCCGCAATGCAGGTAAGTTCATTTATTAAAAGGTTGAATTTGTTTCTTTGGTGAAAATTAAGCTCAAGTAAACAGTTAGCGAACAAGGCGAAGCGACACTAAGGAAGTAAAACTTAATTACGTGAATTATTTTCGTAGAAACGGAGCCTATTATAACACAAGAAGTTCGAAGTCCTTTGACTCCCGTGGAAGGCGAACCTGTCACTTTCAACTGGACGTACGATCTTCAGGGACAGTCGTTCCAACAAATGATTTTCACGAAGCGAGGCATTTTTCGTATTGTGCAGCAATTTCTTTCAAATCCGCTATTCTTTGAAGATGGTTTTCTTGACCGAGTGAAAGTGGACTTTAACGTAACGCATACGTCGTATGCGTCCTTCACGTTTCTTGCCGTGTATCGAAACGATTCGAACTTCTATACCTTTAGTTTGCAAAGTACTGGAGGTGGTACTGAAAGTCCTGAAGTGGAGCTGAATGTGCTATGTAAGTAACAATTATATATGAACTTTGTATGTTTCCTTTTTGCAGGTTATTTAAGCTTATTAGTTGATCTAAAAGTGTCTGAAGCGTTTGTTTCATGTAAATGCAAACACTTTCACCAACAGTGTCGTTGAAAGTTGTTTTCTGTGCAATCGCTTCTTCACTTTCTTTTTTGAAATAAGAATGGGGAGCTTATATCATATGTTGGAAGTGTGATTTTCGCTACGTGAAGTCATCGCCATTCGAACAAATACTGATTCATCGCTTCTTGTGCTCATTATCTTTTACGCCCAGAACTTTTCTGACTTGAAATAGCAGTGTGAATTGGCTACTGATGGGATTTTACGTACATCGATACCAATTTATAAGTTTATATGAAGCTTTAGCTCAAGTGTTGTCGGTTCGAGAGAACCCATTGCTTAGAAACTGAAAGTCAGATTACTTGGTTTGCCGCACATTAATTTAATAAGCAAATATGCTCTAAGTGAACTTGGAAAAGCATTCTGTATATAAAACTTGGATTTTTAGACCATGGACGATTTTTTGTAGTTTGTGTCCAAGTGATTGGTGATAAATGAATAAACTTAGAGGTTTACATTGTAAACAACGTAAGCCTCCAAGCATATAATTAAGCCTACCTTTTTATCCACAAAAGCGGACATATTTGTCTGTCCATCAAATGGTGGATATTGATAACCTAATTAGCAGACTTGTTCACGCGAAATCAGATGATAGAGTGAAAAAAAGATGTTGGCTCTCTTAAATGTGGAAAAGGATCATTAAATATTCTATCAAGATGGAAAAAACTCACTTTTCTTTGAATTTGCATTTTTACCACTTGCATGCATGATTAGTGCTCAAATTAATTCTTCATAGTTCCATTTTTGTTTATTTGTCAGAAACATATAGTTGAAAGTTAAGGGCTTAGGATGTGTTGGATATGAAACAAGTAAGATTAAATATTTGTCAGTGTTATTAGCCCGTGTATATTGCTTTTGACAATTTTCAGAGGAACCCTGGATCTTATATTTGCTGGAAGCTCATCCTTGTTAATGAGTATTTTTGTTCTAAATTATTGATATTGCTTAGGGAATGTTTGTCATGGCTGTTAATAGTTATGATACCAATTCTGTTTGTACCGTCATGGTTACAAAACGTCATGCTAGATTCCATGTATTTGTTTTATGCTGTGAACCTTCCCACGAATTTTCTAGTTAAATTTAATTCCACTAAGGAATTGGCTCATTTGTTAATTGTTTTTGTCTTCAGTGCATGTATGCAGTGATGTATGACGCATTTTGTTTTTAGACAATAAATGCTATTTTCATGGGCAAAATTATGCAATAAAATGATTATTAGAACTAAAAACCATTAATAGAGAATGTTTGGGCTGGTTTTGATAATATCTTTATCTCTTAAAGTTTGATAACAAAAAGTGGGATTTTGGTGCTGAGTCATATTATTATCTATTCACCTTTCAATAAGTTTTTGTTTATGCATGCACTTGTTCCTTGTGATATTGCAGTGTATTATCTTTTTCACTTAAGCTAAAAGCAATGAGAATATTTTAGCTGGCTAATCAGACAAATGTGTAGAGCAAATCTTTCTTATCAAGTTTTGGCTTTTGGAAAGTAGAAGTTATTTATTAGGAGTGTAAGGATTCATATTCCTTGCGATTCGATTCGATTTGATTATTGCCTTTCGATTTCGATTGTTTCGATTCAATTATGGAAATGTTTCTTAATTCTTATAACATAACACAAGATGTAAACAACATGCAACTCTAAACCCTCAATTTGAGAATAGTAACAGGGACAGGAGGATTCACAGTCGCTTGGTTTGTCACCATGTTTGAGAACCTGAGAAAGAGCATGTCGCACATGGTTTGCCTTATTTTAAAATTCTCAAGGGGTGGTTGAAGGACAGCATTTTTACAAGGTAACACAAAATGACGCACGAACTGCTATCATATTTCCTCATCAATCAAAAACGCATATTTTAAAGAGTTCTGGATTCTGATTTAACAATATAATAACTCACTGAGGGCACCCTGGAAAAGGTGTGCAAAAATCGAACTAAAATTGAAATGTGGAAGCAAGGAATCGTGAATCGAACCGAAATCACGATTAATTGAGAATTCAATTAATCATTACACCACTATTACTTATTTAATGTATTGCTATCATACAGTGACTGTTGCCTAATTTCTCGTCACAAAATCAACACTGCTGAATAATTGATGGCAAGTTTGTAAGATTAACCAGGAATAAAATGTTTTAATCTTTAAACAATAAAATCAATAAGAACAATTATTGTTCTCATCAACAGCTTAAGGAACATGAAAAAACCAATAGGAATGAATCTGTTTGTGAATTGTGGAGTATACTCTAAAATTTTCAAGTGTGCAAACACCCCAGTTGATAAAATTAGTAGTTGATTGCAGACAATGAGTGCTGAGGATGTTTCTAGAAAGCAAGAATTCTATGCTTTTGTGTTAACAAAAATTAGTAGCAAATGAATAGCATCATTTCTGGGTCCAGTAATGTTCCTTCACAAAAGGTCAATGAAAGCGTATTATAGTGATTGAAAACACTAGTGATTTTGGAAGGTTTGTTATGCTGATAAATCACCAAAACATTCAAAGAATCTACAGGTCAGAAAGATTTCTCATACATGTTATAGTCCAATGATTTTTTTACAAGACACTTCTTAATTTTCTTTTAAGAGACAGAGTTGTATTGGCTCATTTGTATAAAAAATTCAAACCAGCTCTGTAATGTCTTATTACCATTACAATTCACTAATATCATGCTGAGTTTAAATCTTTTATCCCAAAAAAGAACAATTTGAATGACAAAATGTGCAAAAGAAAATAATCAAGTTAGTTTTTGGTACAATCTATTCCCAAAATAAACCAATATAAAAGCTACCTACATGTACATGTAGATGTTCAATGTACTAGGCTTAGATTTTGTCAGAGCTCTTATCTTGGTAACAAAGGTCGAATATTGTTTTTTATTCATGTACATGTAGGTTGAAAACAGATTAAACCCACAACAAAATAGTCATTCAATGAGCCTAAAACCATTCAAATGAAATCCTTCTGAATATACACACTGTAAAAAATACTGATTACCCTATCTTCAGTGGTATAATAGCCTTTAATAGCCTAAGTCAGTGAATTCGTATGCTCCAGTGATTTTGTTACCCCTGCGTCCCTGATGCATAAAAATTCTCAAAGAGAATGAAAAATTGACGGTTTGCGTCCTTTGGGACGCAACAATGATCAATTGATCTAAAAAATGTTTTTAAAGAATGCTCTGTTTGCGTGATTTAAAATCTTTATTGAAAGCTACCTCCAAACAAGAGTTATTTTGTTTGCTAATAAAATAGATTCCAAACCCTTGCGAAATAACTTTTGGAATTCCTAGGAATTCCTAGGATTATCCTAGGAATTCCTAGGAAAAAAATCCTAGGAATTCCTAAGAATTCCTAGGAATTCCTAGGAATCATAGGTGTGAATTTTCACGGTAAATTCGGACTTGGAATTCCTAGGAATTCCTAGGAATTCCCAGTTTAAAAAGTTCTGGTTCTAAATTCCTAGAAATTCCCGGAAATTCCAAATGGAAATGAAACTAGACTTGGAATTCCTAGGAATTCCAACCTACAAGATTTTAAAGCACAAAAAATTCTTAGAAATTCCCAGAAATTCCTAGGAATTCCTAGGAATTCTAGGAGTTTACAGGTTTAACATCATGTCATCAATCAACATCCAATGCCAGGAAAGTAAAGTATATGCAAATTTAATGGTTAATTACCAACTGGAGAAAGCATGGAAATTGCATTTAAACAAGTTTATGATAATAATGTTCAAAATCACATCTTATGGTACATGTTCTGTTTTTTACAAAATTTAATAAAACAATTAAAGTCCTGAGATATAAATTGTTCTTGAGTCATTATTGAAAAATTGTGGGACACATTTGTAACTGGAATAATACAGCAAAAGAGTCTTGATTGAATTAATTTTACAGCGGGAACATATGTGTAAAAAAAGAAAAAGTCAGGCCAACTTGCTTCCAGCAAGCTTATCTGCTAAGCCCTTACTGAGCCGCCCGACTTTTAATTCAGCTCTCAAACTGAGAACAAAATAATGAACTGGAAACTAAAATACTTGTAGTACATGGCGTTTAAACATACTTGTCCATGACTACAGTAGAATCCCGGCGGTGACTCGAACTCTAAAGGGAAACGAAAAATAGTTCGATTTTAAGTGGGGAATTCGAGTTATCGGGGTAAATTTCAGTGAAATCTTGATCAAGAGAAAGCAAATTTAGTTCGACTTAGCGGGGAATTCGAGTTATCCGAGTTCGAGTTATCGAGGTTCTACTGTATTAAATCCGCCAGAATCTGATCGAGTATTAGCTTATTCACGTAGAATTCCATCAACCATTTGCAACAACGACTACAGTTATGTCTCCAGTAAACAAAAAGGAACCAATAAATGGTTTTCCATGCCATCTTGAAGTTTCGTGTTCATATATCGGAACGATCTATAATTTCACTTTGATCTCCAGCTTCATTATTTGAGTACGTGGTTACCATCAGAAGACACATTACGAAGCAGGAACGTACCTTTACCTTTCACAATCCAGCTGACTTATCGTTCTCAGACATGACTGGAAGCACGTTTCATGTGTCAACAACAAAATAAATGAACAATCCGCGTTTAAAATAACGTCCATTTCGGATGCAAAATACTTGTGCTCTTGCTAATGAAAGTCCGCGTGAATTTGAACTCACCAAACGGAACTTCATTTCACACTTTTCCATTGGTTCAAAAGGCGCACGTGATGACGCACTTCACTTAGTGGGGAGACTGGTAACCAGTATAGCTCAAACATGGCGGATGATTTTGCTCGATGATGATCAAGTTGAAAAAAGCGGTCGTTTTCAGAGCTAAATAAAATATTCCAACGCTTTTGAGGTATAAGCAGCGAGAGGAAAATTTCGTGTTGTTTTTTCAAGAAGCGATGACCTTTTATTAGGCAAAGCCGCGATGAAAAACGTGTTGTGGACATGTTTGGAAAGCTCAGGTACGAGAAGTGGCACTTTGAATAAGCTTTCAGTATCGTGCTTATTGTTGATAATTTTTTTTAAAGATTTAAGTCGCAATAAATGTTGTATATAGATGCTGGTTAATGTCAAGAAATCCTTGTTGTTATAGGCAATTAAAGGAATGATTATTAAAATTTTTTACGCTTTTTATTACCTTTGAACAGTTATCGTTTTTCCTAAAAATTAAGCCAGTGTTTCCAAGTTAACAATGACTTGGAATTATTGAGAATTCCTAGGAATTCCCACAAATTCTCATTGGTGTTTAAGCAATTCCCAATAATTCCCATAAGTTCCAAAGACAGTATCCTTCAAACTTGGAATTATTGGGAATTCCTAGGAATTCCCAAAAATTCCCACTGGTGTTTTAACCCATTCCCAAGTATTCCTAAATATTCCAAGGTTTTTTATCTTTGCTCATTTGCATGTCTTGGAATAAATTGGAATTCCTAGGAATTCCCAGAACTCTGGGAATTCATTTCGCAAGGGTAATTTCAACTCAAATTCTTCAATATAATTTTTTTGTTGTTAAGGCGGCCATGTTTATTTTACTGTTGGAGTGGTTACTCATTATCTTTGCCATAAAGTTTCACGTGAGAGATAGTCAAAATGCGCGTGATCAGATTACAAGTGATACAAGGTCCAAACACGCGTGATTAAAGTGCGTTCTGTGCATTCCATTTATTCTTAGTGGAAGTCCAAACAAATGCGGGCTACATACAGTCATGTGACGTATGCGTTATAACAACCTGGGCCCAGTTGTTCGAACGCCGGTTAGTACTAACCCAGGGTTAAATTTTAATTTAACCCGGGGTTTGTTTTCTTTTTATCAAAAGCACTTTCTCGGATAATTTTCTCTATTCTTTTTAGAGCATTCAATCATTAAATTGTAGGCAAAGAGAATTTAACTAAATCTGCTTTTTAAGCTCTCATATCTGAGTTCAAATTTCTCACTAACCCTGGGTTACCTTAACCCAGCTTTGAACAACCCAGCCCTGGAGATTAGGATTGTGGGCTCCTGTTGTCACTGGCCGCAATTAAACGTTATTGTCTCACCGTGTAATACAAAAAACAACTCCAAAAAACATCTTGCTAACTTAAAATACAGGTATAAGCAACAATTGACACAAAATAAATAAATGTAATTACGTTTCGGTCCTTATTAACTGTTAGTTAGGCGTGGGTTTTTGCCCGTTTAACACAAAACCGTTAGTGTTCGTTTTTCGCGTGAGAGGTCACAGATACAAGATGGAAAAGTGCTGAAACTAGCCAGAAAGGTGTGACTGAATAATTATTAACAAACCAATAATTGTGACAAGAATGTGGAGGAAAGTACAACAAAAATGCTGAAACCTAAATCTTAAGCAATGCAAGCTCTTTAACAGCTTTAATGTAGGGTTTGAGCTAGGATTTGATCACTGGGGGACAATTTGTCCCCTTGGCTAAAATTTTGGGGGACATTTTCATTTTTAGGGGGACAGAAATTTGTACACCCTTCTGCTGATGCAAAGGGGTTTGTCTTCTTAGCAGGGCTTCTGATAGGTCTCGGAAGAAAAAGTCAAATTTCGCGGGATTTTTAGGGACAAATTCGCGGAAAAATCGGCTGATTTCGCGTGCGTTTTCGGGGCAAACTTCACCGAAAAGCAATCGGTAAAAAACCGGCCGATTTTGTGGTTATTTTCAAGACAAATTTCGCTAGAAATCGATCGGTTTTGCGCTGATCAGACCAGCCTTTTTGATGTTTTTCTAACAGAGGTTATCATTTGCTCTTTCAACAAAAATACGCTCCAGAAATGAACCAATGACAAAGCCTTTAACATCATGGCTAGTGCCCAGTTTTTCGCAACATAATCTGTTTGCACGTTTCAGTGACGAAGTTCCAAGATAAATTTGCAAGTTTACGGCAAGTAAATAGCCCCTATAGCTGAAATAAGCTTCACATATGTTGTACAGACATGTATTTGATAAGATTTCTACCAAATCTCGCGGTATTTTTCGTATTTTTGTGAATTTCGCGACCGCGCAAAGAATCAGCAAATTGCAGTACAGCGTGACTGAAAGGTAACTTTGGAATGAACTTTAAAGGTGCGATAGAATATACTTCCACGTTCTGTTTCAGCTTGCAATTTCTGCACTGAAATAAATCTCTTCGTGTGTGCTTCCTTTAAATTTTTCTTCCCTAAAATTTGAAGGGGACAAATTGTCCCCTTGCCCGTTTCTTAAAGGGACAATTCCAATTGCAGTGCTGGATTGGCGCAATGGCGCGGCCTGGCTCAAACCCTGTTAATGTCATAGTTAAGTTGAGGTATTTACCTCTTAATTTATAAAGATTCCAAAAAAACATAATTGGTTATAGTTATTGTTCCATGCAATAATTTTTGCGTTATTCAAAATAGTCTGGTTAACGTGGGAAGTGAAATTAGCTACATCGCTTTTGTTGTTAAAACAACCAGGCAAATTATTCAGAGAAAACAAAAACTTAAATGCCTCGCAGCTGTGTAAGTGTTGGAACATTGCAGAATTATGGTCAGAGTTGTGTTCATCTAATCTTACTCTGCGGCATCTGTCAGTGTTGCCTATGTATGTAGCATTACAAGCTGGACTTGTCAGTTTGTAAATCACATGAGATTTAAGATACATAGGGTTTGAAACTTTGTCCATGCAAAATGATGAAAGTTTCTTAGTTTGGTAGAAAATTTTAAAACAAACAGGTTCCTTAAAACCACGCTTTAATTTCCGCACTAGTCTGTTTTTGATTGACTCTCCAATGTAGCCTGCATAAGGCAGTCGAAGCCAAATTAATCTTGCTAGTATCATTGTTGGATGAACTTGGCTCAGAGTCACTACACATGAAACGTTTAATGAGGTTAGACATAACAGATCTAGGAAAACCATTCCAAGACAGGAAAGTTTTGATCACTGATATTTGTTTCTGAAATGGAGAGTTGTTATCGCAAATGCGAGAACTGCGATGGAACAGAGCTCTAGCCCAAGCGATCTTATGAGGCCAAGGTTCATAACTGGTGAAAGAGACATACTGGCCAGTGTTTGGGTCTTTCCTGTAAATATCCGTAAAAGTTCTGTAATATTTATTGGGAGTCAACTGTGCTGATTAAAAAAATAAGGGGGTCTTCGTTTTAGGGTCTTAATTTTCAGGTCCATGTTTTTGGGTGTTTACTCCCAATTTTTCTTGGGTCTTCGTTTTTGGGTCCATGTTTCTGGTTTTGGGAGTCATTGTTTTCGGAATGACCATAAATCGACATCCATTTGATACATTGAAAGACTTAATGTGGCATAGTGGTTTCAACTGGTCTGTAAATTAATCAATCAATAATTGCATTTGACGAAGGAGAACGCTTACTATTTGTGTACCGTACATGAAGTAGCAACTGTTCTGTATGCCATGCAATTTCACTGTTTGGACGCTATCTTGGACCGGCCTGGCACAATAATTTTTCCTAGATCTCATGTATTCCATTTTTCTCACCCGGGAGCTGGTATCTATTTTGTGACACTCATTCACAGATGAAATGTTGGCGATTTTCCGTTTACTACAGGTTTGTTTATAGTTTTTCTCGCAGTTTGCAATTAAGTTTTTTTTATATAGGAAAATTTCCATTCTAAGATAATCAGATATGTAGATATTATGTTAACAATGCGTTCTTCACACTGGTTAGCTTTTGTTTTTATGGATTCAAACAAGATCAGCTTAGATCAACCATATTTAATTCTATTACAAATTACATCGTTTTGCTTTTAAAAGCTATTTACAGCATTGCATTTGCTTTTGTTTATCACTTTTTTCGAAAAATTTACAAGAAGTTGAACAGTGAAACGTGAACCTTTTCATCTCACTAATTCCGGGTGCGTTGAATGAGATGAGTTGTGTTAGCCTAGTGTCACGCAACAAGGGTTTAAAGTGATACTCGATGCTTAAACTTTTCAGATAACTTCAATTTTTCTGTATCCCAATGTTTAGCCATTCTTATTGACCATCCTAGAGTGCAAAGGGATATCCTGAGGATCATAGTCAGTGTTTGACCTGTTGTTACTTACATGTTATTTACTCAGAGATTTAGCCATTGAGTACAGTACGCTCTTGCATTTTTGAGGAAAAATGAAATAGTAACAAATTGTAAAGTGGGAGGATAAACAATAACACTGATAAAGACAGCTGCTGATATTCGTATTGATAGAAGTGTTTGATTTTGCTTTCTCAATATTGCAAACCCATCAGGTTTTCCCCCCCCCCCTCTCCCCACTACCACTCACTACCCACCACCCCGCTCCCCCTCCCCATCGAATGCACTCCTCTAATTTGCAATTATTACTAGTATTATTTATCAGTCAATGAAAGCTTTAACGGTGCATATCACTTCATTAAAAATCCTTTTTCAGTGAGCTGTTTCCATAAAAAATTCCAAGAAAAATTCTACGATTAAAATAATTTATTTAGTAAAGCTATGTTGCTACAGTAATAATTATTATGTGCTTTGGACTCTGATTCAAGAGTTCCTTTGAGCCCCGTCAGAGATGTGTTGTGTTCCTGGTGTGGCCAAGACGCCTCACTTTCACTGTACTTTTTTGCATTACTCTAATCAGGTATGGGAATGGTTACCCTGCCGTAGACTGGCATCTGGTCCCAACAGGAAGTTGACATATTCCTTGTCACTTCTAATGCTACAGTGTGTAATGGAATGACAAGGCTGAGCCTGCATGGCTACTTGTTTTTGGCCTGAGTGCAAGCTTAACCTTTGGTCTACATGTACATGTGCCTACTAGTCACACAATATCACTTATTGTACATAATGTATGCATAATTATGCAGTAGGTACAGTACAATTGTATGTATGCAGGTACCTCTTGGTGTGCTACCATCCCAGATTTAAGAAGTGTTAAATATGATAGCCTGTTCCAAGCGTTCAGATAGTGGAGAGCGGTGCAGAGTAAAGAAAGCGATGAAAAGTAGAGGGGGACTGGGCAGAGAGGTGCGGGAACGCTTGTAAGAATTTTTAACAAAAGTGCGTTCCGGTATACCAGATCCTGGTATACCCTCTGATTGGTTGATTTTGACAGTTTTTGTCAACAGTGGAGCGTCTTCGATCACAGCGAGAAATGCGATATGGCTGTTATGACAGACTCTAAGTGCCGTCACGCAGAATTCAAACTCGCAACAAACACAGCGCTGAGTGACTTTCCAAACGTGGAGGCTAAAAGCGAAGAGCAAAGAAACTGTTTAAAACACGTAGTCGGTAGGATAGATGTCTTAGCAATTTCTCATCGACTGGCTTTGGAAAAATTCTTATTTTCCAGCTTTTTACTCGAATAAAGCATGCGTTGGAATGAAGGCAGGATAGAATGCCATTTACGATTGTTGTGGTAACTCCGTTGATTACCATCATGGAAGACCAAGTGGAATATTTGAACAAAATCGGAGTAGCGGCGGCAATGATGGGAGAAGATATGGATGAAACCGTTAAAAGTGGAAGCTGTGAAATTGTTTACTGAAGTGCCAAATCGTGGTTGTCTAATGAATGGACAAAAGGACTTCAAAAAGGAAAGCTTGGAAAGCAAGTTGCAGCTATCGCTATTGACGAGGTCCACTCAATCACCGAATAGTAAATTTTCCCTTCAATTGTTGTGCATTTTCATTGCTTGAGTTAACGATCTGTATTGAAACGGCTTTCTATCGAAATGAGCGATATTTGTTTGTCACTTGATTCATAATTTTTTGTCACGTACACGCTGAAATCATGTTTTAAAGCCGTAAATAAATTCATTATACATGAATACTTCTCCCGCCTTCTATTGTCTGAAAGTCTTACATTGGGTTTTTAGGAAGATTATGTATACATAATATTAATTTTTGATCTGAGAAACTTCGATTTATTCGCAAGAAAAATAATAAATGCATCGGGCTGTAACACCAGTCTTGATTGACAAGTGAAGACCACCTACTGCTGATGCGGTCTGACTGGGCGGAAGAGTCTATTTAAAACAAATCTAACAGGCGTTCCCTCTCTCACCTCTCCTCCTTCCTCGCTTTTATTTTTTCGCGCTCCTTTTTACTTCGCACCGCTCCCCACTATCTGAACGCCTGGAATAGGCTATAAATATGAATTCTCATTGGCTCTTCATGCCAGTAAATCTGGAATCACTCCAGCCTCACCTTTTCTCCTTACATTTTCAGTGATTACTATAAATTTACTCATGGCATCACATCATTGACTTAATTGTCATTCATCATTTTTATCTCATTGAAATATGTTTTCTGTCCCGTTCAGTTCCTCCGAGTTTCAACGGTTTCAGTCCTGACCAAGTTGTGGTAGAAAGTGACTCTGGTACGATCTCGTTAAACTGTTCTGCAGATGGTAACCCAGCACCAACTGTCACCTGGACAAGAGTCTTTAGTAATGGGAGTGACAGTGATTTGCTGTTTACTGGAAACCCATATGTGATCAACAGCAACAGAATCAATGCTGGAAGATATCGCTGTAAAGCTGATAATAGCATCGGTAGTGCCATCAATCAGACAATCCATGTGACCGTCAACTGTAAGTACTCTGGTGTATTTCCCAGTTTTAGTGGTTAGATGTTGTTGTTTCTGAACAAACAAAATTCAAATGTGCTATTGATGTGAGATTGTCTTAAACTGCTGAACTGCAGCTGAGGAGGGTTTAGGAAAAGAATTGATCAGATACTGTCAACTTTCTCTTAAATGGACACCTCACTAATACAGACAACTACAGTGTAGAGTTGGCTCCTGTCTTTCTTTACTCTTTTAGTTGAATTGACTCTCTATAATAATGCCCAACTTTCTAAGACGGACACATAGTGCCAGTTCCAAAGGTTTAGAGTCTCAAGTTAACTGTAAACACAATTTTAACTTTGAAAAAAAAATTCCAACAGTTGAATGTCATTCCATGATTGTTTGATAATTAAACAAATATCTACAATGACAGGTTTACCACAAGTAAAATTGATTATTACAATGTTGCAATAGGAAAAGGGGTAAAAAGAACCTGTTTTAAGTAGTAGGGCCTGTAAGTGCCAAAGGAGTGAGATTTTCTTTGAGAGGTTACACTTCATACTGAACAACATTGATTAAAATCACTGTACACTGTAACAAGGCTGTGCTATAAGGAAAATTGAAGGGTGCCCAGTGCTCTGAATCTGCAAAATCTAGGGTACCCAGCGTATGATTTTTATAAGTAGCCCAAGGGCAAAAGTTGGGTGCAAAGGTGTTTATGTCTGGTCAGAATTAACATTGAAATAATAAAGGGGAATAAAGGAAAAAATTAATACATTGTTGAACAATATTATTGATTAATTTATTCTAATAATGATGCCTTGTGTTATTATTTCAGTCAAACCAGAGAATGTCCAGTTACCCGTACCAAAATTTACGCTCTAGCCAGAAGGTAAATTGGGCCATAATTTTCAGCCAAACCCAGGCCGAAATAAACCAAAATAGGGCCTTAAAAAGTTCAACCAAAGATGAACCAAAACGAGCCTCACTGAAACGTAAATATTTGAGCCACAAAATAAACCAAAATAGAACCCAAATCCTAACTACACTCCAGTGATGCAAAAACTGGGCCAAAATCGGGCCCAAATTATGCTGTCATTTTGGCTGAACGGTAACACGATAATGACCGCTGTCTGCACGCTGCATATTTCTGTAATCCGGTTCGAGCTAAATTAGGCCACATTTGGGCCAAAATTACGCTGTAATTGAGGCTGAGATCCAACCATTTTTTGGTCAAGATTTCGCTCAACAGTAACTCGACACCGGCAAACTCGAGATTGCGTGCCAAATGTACATTTTCAAGGTAGATAAATAGATAAGCAGGCTAAAGTTAGTATAAATAATTGACAAACGTTTGTATGAAAATCGCCACAAATGAAACATCAACTGGATTTTTAATGCAGTATAGCAAATTTAAATACATTGCTACCAGAATTTTTCTACAAAAAATAAAGAATATTACATCAAAGAACGAAACCGGGTCACGCGTCGTTTTGAATGTATAAATCACGAATTCACATCACGTACAAAGTCCACTTGCTACAGACTGTTCGTGCATTTCTTCAAAAATTACAAAGAGATTGTCTGAATATTATTCCTTCACATAGATGAGCACCAGCACTGCGACGATCACAAATTCCACGCATCAATACCTTTCAGTCTCACAAGCTCGATAACTTTTTTGACACGGGACCCGTACTAATAGCTATTTCCTCTCAGGATTTCTGTAATTTAGTTCTTCCTATGTTACCCACAACCAGCAAATACAGCTGTGTGCTTTAGGAAATTGTTCCAGAACAATATTTAACTGGTTTGTTAGGCAGGTTTTAAGCCCTATATCATAGAGATAAACATGTTTCCAAGAAGACTTCTGCGTTTTCAAACAGTCATGACCAGTTTACTGGCCGCCAAAAGAAAGGGCTACGAACGTTTAACATGATGCACGATCTATGAAGAAAAAACACTAACCTTAAAATACAACTTAAAACACACAAGCTTACCTTTACCGGCAGTTTTAAAAATTATACTGACATCCTTTGTCCTGCACATTTTCACTTTCAGCTTCTTGCCTCGCTTCAAACGGTCCTTGCAAGGCACAGCGACTTTTGGGACTTTTTGGGTACAGTGCCGATACTTTTGTCCGAATCAAAATAGATGCAGTAATGAAAACTAATTTTCAAACTTACAGATGTTAAGCTTCAATGTAACTTAGATCGGGAAAACGTTTACAGGAGAAGAAATGATCTCTCACTCGCTGTGTTACACAAACGTTTTTCTCTTACGATGCAACTAACGAAAAACCCAAATGCCCGCCAAAATAAACTAACCAATCATCATGTGTCTCTAAGGCCACGTGAACATTTCAAGACAGTTTTTGAGAAATCAAGAAATGCGATCACGCAAAAACAACGCATGGAAAGTTTCAAGTGGACCTGTACTGTCAGGTTTACTACGGTAACGTAAAGACAATGTCACGAAAATTTTTCCATAGTAAAGCGCTTTTTACTGTAGTAATTGTAGAGGCTTTTTAATATGGTACCACCACGATTCAAATACATCATATATAGCTATTGAAATCCAGCTTTAACTGGTCGGAAGTGTTCAGGGGCAAAACATTCATTTATTGTATTTGGTTTCGTGCGTGCACGGCATGGATTTATCTATCGTCAGGTGCGTCAATTATGTTTGCAAAGTTAATTGCGAATAAAATAGAAAGAGATTAGTCTTACTTGCAAGGTGCGGGAATCAACTTTGTAGGTACGTATTGTATCTGTAAATGTTTACTTCGGTTGAGTTAAAAAACTAATCTGATATTTCTCGTTCTTGTTTGCAAAAATCTCTTGCGTTAGGACTATTTAATTAAAGTTTTGCTAATATTTAATGTCTCCCTTACACATAAGTTATGCAGAGCTTTGTTTTCTGGTGGCTTCACATCGACTTCACTGTAATTCGCTGGTTCGACCGAACTGTTCAACACCAAAATTACAGCCTCAGTCGGCTTCTAAAGCGACCTAAACTACGACTAAAAAAATTTTGCCTGCTTTAAGGTCGTAGAGCGTTCAAAATGAGAGCCTAAATAACAGCCCAAAGCGATTTTGGTTCACATTTGGGGTTTAACTGTCGACCAAATTTACAACCTAAAATATTTTGCCTGAATTTGGTCGCTTTTTGTTCATGGTGTTGGAATTAGAAACAAAAAAGGAAACATAATTTTTTTGGCTCAAGCTGTTAGGTTCAGCTTTGGTTGATCTTTTGCTCTATGTTTCCATTTAAGGCCTTATTAAGGCCTTATTTTGGTTCAGTCAGGCCATAAGATTTCGTACGGGTAACTGTGAGTGACTCAAGCATCTGTCCGGGCGATGTATTTAATTTAAGCTGCTCTGCTGATGGCAATCCCCCTGTACATACTTACCTGTTGTTTGAAAATAATACCCTTCTAAATCCCAGTGGTAGTTCAGTAGTAAACAGGACAGCATCAGCTGGAGGAGTGCTTATTTACAGATGTGAGGGGAATAATACTGTGGGAACGGCAAATGCGACAACAACTGTCACTGTAAATGGTAAGAAATGAAAAAAAAAAAATAATGTGCATTTGTGCTGTATTTACATGTACATGTAGATAATTAATTTTTAATCCACCAACAAACAAACACTTCAGGCAGTTAATACATTATGCTAGAAAAACTGGTCAAAGATAGGCCAACAAAAATGTAACAAATTGGTGCCACTATAACAAGACTATTGCTCCTTGTCATTAGCTGGTAAAATGCATCTGACTTTATTTAATGTTAAGTCAACCGGACATAAAAAACTTGACCCTCAAATGTAATCATCTCTATATATCCTTTTTGATGTAGAGGCACCTGTGATACAGGCACTGATCAACACCACAGTAATAGAGGGCGAAAACAGTACTTTGGCTTGTCATGTAAGTGGTATCCCTTTACCATCTGTATCCTGGACAGAAGTTAGAACAGGTGACCGTACAGAGGAGAACATTCGTTCACTTATTAACGTCAGTAGAAGTGATGCTGGAAAATACAAGTGTGAAGCAAGCAATTTTTGTGGAAATGACTCCAAAAGCACATTTGTGATTGTTAACTGTAAGTGACTACTCTGAATAGTAATTAAAAGTACATGTATCAGGGTGCAAAGAAAATTATTTTTACAGCTTGCAATTCTGGAAAGCCCAGACATCATTTCAACTAGCCCCAAAAGCTATTTGATGAGCAGAATTGATTTCACAGTTCTTCTGATATGTTATTCGAATTCCTTAAAAGACGTCACTTGCCCGTCAGGCAAGTTAAAAACAAAGTTCACTAACTCAGGATAGCGAAATCCACTAGCCCCGAGCTATCGGTCACTACTTTCTTTGCATGCTGTATATAATTCCAGTGGTATTTTATGTTCAGTAGCTGCTTGTACTGTGTTTTACCCATCATATTTCCATTTAAACTGCAGGAAGAAAAGAAAATCTGTAGAATGTTGTAGTATAAAGGAATTCCAAATTTTCAAATATTCTCATGGGGAACAAAATTGGTGCAATTTTTGGGGGAGGTGCTAGCTGTAAATTGGCAGTATTTGACCTTGAAAAGGAATAATAATAATAATAATAATAATAATAATAATAATAATAATAATAATTATAATAATACAAGAATTTAAGAAACGAGAGGAAGTCAGCTTTGGTCTAACTCTCAAGACAATTGAGAAATTAAAGCTTTGAGAGTTAATGGTTTGTATTGTAAGTATAAACTAATATTTAAAACTTTTGTAGTCTCTGATTAACTAAATATGTTTAAGAGTTTTTGTAGCTGGTCATTCAAACTAAAGTTTGAAAGTTCAAACTAATTCAGACTAAAGTTCATAATGTACGTGTACAATATAGAAGGTTACATTATTTTTGTTTAATTTGTTTTGAACAGATCTCCAAGGAATGTCTTCTGCATCAGTTATGATCAGTTTTCACAGACAACTCCCTGCACGTTATTATGTGTTATTTATTAACATGTACTTTTTTCACACAATGTATTGTTTCAAGGGGGTTCTAATGTCTCTCTGTATCTCTTTTCAGTTAAACCAGAGGATGTGCAGTTAACAACGAATGCCACTTCTAATAAAGCATGTCTGAATGATGTGGTGTTCTTCAACTGTTCAGTTGCTAATGCAAACCCAGCAGTGGCATTTTATCAGTTTTTTGAGAATGATGTTCTGTTTGGTAGTAGCAGCTCAGGAATGTTCAGCAAAATGGTGATGAACAGTGGTAATTTAACATACAAATGTGTGGCAAACAATACTGTAGGAGCAACAAGCAGCCAGAATGTTTCCATTACTGTTAATGGTGAGGCCAATAATGATTATATAAAAAATGGGATGTGTTCTGTTTTCTCTCCTGTTTGCTTGTTTTTGTCAGTTCCCTTCTTGTTTTAGTGTATCACTTTCTTCCACGTGTCTCACGGGCAAATAGAGTAGCGTGTTCCGGTTAAACTGAAGATATCTAAAACCCAACATCAAATTAAACCTTCTATCATAAACTAGCTTTCCTAATAAACCCGATTTTTTTATTGCGCTGTTGATTTTTGAGCATACTTTACCGGTTTGTGGGGCCTATATTTGGAGGGGCTTTAAGGGTTATCAAAATTTAATGTTATGCAGTACTTGCATATTCCCCTGCTCCTGCATGAGTTTCTTTTCACAGCCTTGTCATTTAACTTTAACCACAGATCTGAAATATAATGGACACAGCTTTTGTACAAAAAAAAAAGCGGGAGAGAGTAATTAAAACCGTTACATCTTAAATGTCCCTTAAATTGCAGTGCCAGCATCCATTCAGTCAATCAAAGATCAGTTTGTTATTGAAAGTCACAATGCAAGTCTCATTTGTGATGCATCTGGGACCCCTCAGCCAACTGTGTTTTGGATCAATGTCGCCAGTGGTCAGCGCACAAACAGCAGTGTACTGAAGTTTACCAACATTAACAGAAGTGAAGCTGGAGAATACAGATGTGAAGCTAGCAATGATTGTGGGAGTGCAGTAGAGGCAGTTAACGTTACTGTGCATTGTGAGTAGATTTAGCATAGGCATTGTATTGGTTCATATCAAGTGATGGATCAAGCAGGACCTTTTTGTACTCTGAAAAATAATTATAACAACAGTAATGATGCTATGACACTGTAGGATAATCCCAACATTTATAATAGTAAACTGGAAGGCAATATGGATACCATGATAATTATTACAGCAGAAACTACATTAATTTCATATTTAAATTAACAGTTGGTGAACGTTGTGAGTTGTAAGTCACAGAAATACTGCACAGCCGGAGGACAAAAATTATTGTATGCTTTACTTAAGGCTATAAACCGGATGTTACATTTAATGCACTGTTCTGGTACTACATGTTAACAAAATCGCTGCCAAGATAGATTGTTGTGATATCTTCTTCAATCATAACCCTACTTCAATGACTAATAAACTAAATCGAACTAAAGCAGCAATAATTATTGTCCTTTAAAATAATGGTACTTCTTTAATGGCTGAGGTCACACTTGAGAGTTTAGTGTAATAAAAAGCCTTATTATTCATTCAAAATATTTGACCCCGATTCTGATTGGTTAAAAGCACATGCATAATTGACCATAACCAGTTACTGATGACCAAATTTGGAAGAATTTTGTGTTTAACGAGGAAATGATGTCAAAAATGTAGCGTTCTTGCAGGTTAATGCACCGTTAACCAAGAAGACCAGGGGACGAGGTTGAGTTGTTTTGGTTGTGAAAACAAAAAATGGCAGACATTTCACTCATTTCAAGAGTAAGAAGTAGGCAAAATTATAGCTAAAAACACGGTAAGAACAGCAAGAACACAACTCGAAGGGCGACATCTGCTATTTGGAGCATATTTGTGGAGCTGAACCACCCTAAACGTACACTATCGAAGGTGAACTTAACATCGATGGAGGTAAGCATGTTTTAGCTTTGTTTTTTAACTAGGAATTATTTTGAATGAATAATAAAACAAATATTGTGTTCGGCTTTGGCATCATAAGAAGAATTATGGAGATCTTGGAGGGTGTTATCCGCCTCAATGGATAACACCCTCCTCGATCTCCATAATTTTTCATAACATACTCAGCCTTATTCATTAATCTTTAATTATGGTTAAAAATAAGGTAGACAAATTGGACTTGTTTACTTAAACATTTCTGCAGTGCTTTCATGATTCGAGTGTGTCAATCAAACGTTAAGTCAGTGACTGATGAGAATAAATACAGGCATTCCTTTGTCGTGTGTGTGATTGCCGATTGCAAGTCGTTTTAAGATATTTCTACATTCCGTCATGGAATCTGAGCGGCTGATTGCGACGATTGTGGTTCTTTTCCTTTTGATTATTGCTATAAGGAGAGTCCAGCAGGTTTGATTTTTCACTCCTTACTTTTTTTGAAAAGAAGACAGCACGAAGGTGCGATTGCTTTCCTTACCAGGAGACAGATTGGGAAAAAAAAATGAACTGTTGCGCTTGGCTTCATTCATGGATAATATGCAGACGGTGAAGCTTTCTCTGGACCAAAAATTCACGGTCCACCTAGAGACTTCGAGTGATAGTGGAGCTCTGAAATGAAATGAAAAGAAAAGAAAAAGAGAAGAAGGTTTTAAATGCGCCGTCAACATGTACAAGTCACTCGACAACATCGGAACACAATTCAGAGTAAAAAAAAATCAGAGCTACTTATATGACTGTGTGTTTACCATAATAAATTATGGTATCAATTAAAGAAGTTGAGTTAAAAGTTACCTTGAGGTAAATGAATAGTTTTCTGACATGTCTGTTTTATGGTAATAGGTCATCGCCCAGAATGCTATAGTCTTTTGCGACATGTAATTTCAGTGCACAGTTTCTCAATGTGCGGCAATTCAGATTAAAGTTCATAATGTTCAATGTAGAAGTTTACATCATTTTTGTTCAATTTGTTTTGAGCAGATCTCCAAGGAATGTCTTCCACATCAGCTATGATCAGTTTTCACAGACAACATCCTGCACCTTATTATGTATTATTTATTAACAATTTTACTTTTTTCACACAATGTTTAAAGGGTGTTCTTGTCTCTCTGTATCTGTTTTCAGTTAAACCAGAGGATGTGCAGTTAACAACGAATGTCACTTCTAATAAAGCATGTCTGAATGATGTGGTGTTCTTCAACTGTTCAGCTGCTAATGCAAACCCAGCAGTGGCATTTTATCAGTTTTTTGAGAATGACGTTCTGTTTGGTAGTAGCAGCTCAGGAATGTTCAGCAAAATGGTGATAAACAGTGGTAATTTAACATACAAATGTGTGGCAAACAATACTGCAGGAACAACAAGCAGCCAGAATGTTTCCATTACTGTTAATGGTGAGGCCAATAATGATTATATAAAAAAATGGGATGTGTTCTGTTTTCTCTCCTGTTTGCTTGTTTTTGTCAGTTCCCTTCTTGTTGTAAAGTGTATCACTTTCTTCCAGGAGTCAATTTAATAAAACTTTTACAAGTGTAATTTAAAAGTGTAGCCATTGTTTTAGAGTCTGAAAACAATAGCTACACTTGTAAATTACAAGTATTTGTATTTTGTAAATTGACAGTATTGACATCCCAGCCTTTCAGTTCAGGGTTATCAAAATGTAATGTTATGCAGTACTTGCAGAACCCCCGCTCCTGAGTTCTTTCACAGCCTTGTCATGTAGCTTTTAATCACAGATCTTAAATATAATGGACACAGCTTTTGTACCTGTATGATGATTACTCATGCACTCCTTTCTTACACTGATAATTATATTAAAAAGAGAAAGAGAGAGAGGGAGAGAATAAACCATTACATATTAAATGTCCCTTAAAATTGCAGTGCCAGCATCCATTCAGTCAATCGAAGATCAGTTTGTTGTTGAACTTCGCAATACAAGTCTTATTTGTAATGCATCTGGGACCCCTCAGCCAACTGTGTTTTGGATCAATGCCGCCAGTGGTCAGCGCACAAACAGCAGTGTGCTGGAGTTTACCAACATTAACAGAAGTGAAGCTGGAGAATACAGATGTGAAGCTAGCAATGATTGTGGGAGTGCAGTAGAGGCAGTTAACGTTACTGTGCAGTGTGAGTAGATTTAGCATAAGACATTACATTGATTTATATCTAGTGATGGATCAAGCAGGACCTTTTTGTACTGTGAAAAATAATTATAACAACAATAATGATGCTATGAGACTGTAGGATAATCCCAGCATTTACAACAGTAAAGTGGAAGGCAATATGGATATCATGATAATTATTACAGCAGAAACAACATTAATTTGGTATTTAAAATAACAGTTGGTAAATGTTGTGAGTTGTAAGTCATAGAAATACTGCACAGCCGGAGGACAGAAATGATTGTATGCTTTACCTAAGGCTATAAACTAGGTGTTACGTTTAATGCACTGTTCTAGTACTACATGTTAACAAAATCGCTGACAAGATAGATTGTGATCGTGATATTTTCTTCAATCATGACCATACAGGAGCATTTTGTGTATGGGTTAAGGCACTATAATGACTAATAAACTAAATCGAACTAAAGCAGCAATAATTATTGTCCTTTAAATGGTACTTCTTTAATGGCTGAGGTTACACTTGAGAGTTTAGTGTAATAAAAAGCCTTAACTATGGTTAAAAATAAGGTAGACAAATTTACTATTGTAAATTGGACTTGTTTACTTAAACATTTCTGCAGTGCTTTCGTGATTCGAGTGTGTCAATGAAACGTTACAACACACAACACACGTGCCTCAACCTCTGAACATTTTTATACTAAAGAATCTCGACTCAATGTCAAACGAAATGCTTTTTCGCGTGTTGGGGTCAAAATTTGGAATGGGATACCTCAAATTCTTAAAGAAAGACCGAAAAAAGCTTTTAAAAGATCACTAAAAGAAATGCTACTCGATTTCCTTGAAACTGAAGACTCCTATATTGATGTGGATACGATCATCGTGAAAATGAAAAAGTAATTCTCTTGTCCTTTATTTTCATTTTATTTTATTTTTAAAATTTCACTTTAATTATTGTCCTTGCATTTAAGTAGAACGTATCTATTTAATATAAAATGTATATACTTATATAACGCCTAATTTCTTTGTATTTGTCTAGTTTGTTGTAAATTATGTAGCCTGGCCTGCCTCGAATAGCCTCGCTAACTGCAGGCCAGTCCCAATGTATCTTTTGCTATATTTTCAAATTTAAATAAAGTTGAAGTTGAAGTTGAGTTGACGTTAAGTTGGTGACGGATGAGAATAAGTACAGGCAGGCCTTTGTCGTGTGCGTGATTGCCGATTGTAAGTCGTTTTAAAATATTTCTACATTCCGCCATGGAATCTGAGCGGCTGATTGCGACGATTAATTGTGGCTCTTTTCCGTTTGATTATTGCTATTCGGAGAGTCCAGTGGTTTCGATTTTTCACTCATTACTTTTTTTGAAAAGAAGACAGCACGAAGGTGCGATTGCTTTCCTTACAAGGAGACGGATTGGAAAAAAAAAAATCAACTGTTGCGCTTGGCTCCACGCATGGATAATTTGCAGACGGTGAAGCTTTAATCTCTGGACCAAAAATTCACGGTCAACCCAGAGATTTCGAGTGATAGTGGAGCTCTGAAATGAGATGAAAAGAAAAGAAAAAGAGAAGAAGGTTTTAAACGCGCCGTCAACATGTACCAGTCACTCGACAACGTCAGAACACAACTCAGAGTGAAAAAAATCAGAGGTACTTATATGACTGTGTGTTTACCATAATAAATTATGGTATCAATTAAAGAAGTTGAATTAAAAGTTACCTTGAGGTAAACGAATAGTTGTCTGACATGTCTGTTTTATGGTAATAGGTCAGTTCCCTACAAATCCGAGGTCCCGGCGGAAAGCACTTGCGTAGCGCAATCGAAGCCGTTGCATATCAAGAAAACTGACAAGTTGTCAGCTATAAAAACAAAGTTTAGATAAACTTGTGATAAACGAACGCGATTCAGGTCGCTTTTCTATAGTAAACTTTGCTTTTATCCTGCCACCGTTTCCAACGCGACAGACTAGACGGGCGTTTACCATAGTAAAGTGAGAAAAGCCGGTCACACTAAAAAAGACTGAAACTATGGTAAACTTTGCTTTACTATAGTAAAAAAAGCCCAAGTGTGACCTCAGGCAATGTGTGTTTTTACTTCATTCTAGATCCACCAGAAAATGTCCTATTGACAACAAATGCCACTGCAAATAAATCTTGTCAGAATGATGTAGTAAGCTTCACCTGCTTAGCCGATGCTGTGCCATCCGCGATGCCATTCCAGTTGTTTAAAGATAACGTTCCCATGGAGATAAGTGACTCAGGAAAGTGGGTTAAAACACTGTCAGAAGGAGGTATGTTTCACTACAAATGTGTGGCTAACAATTCCATTGGATCAGCAAGCAGCACAAATGTTATCATTACTGTAGATGGTAAGTGAGACCGTAAAAATACGTTGGTACTCATGTTAACATTTAAGATTGATTTGACTGATTGTAGTTACACACGATCTGATCTCTGTGTTCTCTGTATATATTCTGCTACATCAGCGTTTAATGAAGAACATCAGTGACATCATGGGCGTACACATATATGTCATAACTGAGAAACATTTATTTTATTTACTGTATGCAATAAATTTTCTTAATGAGATAGGTGCGTGTAGACTTGTTCCTGGAAGATTCCCCTCATAGTTTCGACTTTTTTAAGCAACTAAAGTGTACTAAGAGTGATGGCAGTTAGTGTGATACCCGATGAGGTGCAACTAGATGCGAGATGAGACGTGTACTTGTTTGCTATTTTCGAACGGTTAAGTTCTAATAGCCTGAATTTCATCCGATTACTTCTTTATTTTTTTCGATTGTAATTCATTTTTAACGTTCAAACTATCAACTGCATGCTGTACAACTCTGAACCGGTTGTACTAAATTCTATAATCAAACTCGGTCGCAATCACGCAATGAAATAAACAGACACACGGAACACTTAGTTCATATACACAATGATTTGCTTTGATTGAAAAGACGCTATTTGGTCCTTAACGAAGAAAAAAACAAGGAGACAAGAAAGAAAAGCTAACAGAATCATTAGACTTGACGGTAAAAATAGCAAGAAGGTCGAATTATAACATTGATCTCACAAAACTTCGCGTAAACAAAATCACCGGCCGCCGAAACCACAAAGCGGCTCTAAATGAAAAACCTACCGACTCTCCGCAATGATTCTTCATTCGCAGTTCAATTTAGCATTTCATGCCGATCAGTTTCGAAGACAAGGGCAATTTTGCTGTTTAAGATAAAGATTAAGCTTATCGAAATGTTTGAACTAAACGAAAGAATGTCAGGGATGCGATCCGCGAGCGACAATCCCGCTAAAATTTTTCATAATTATACATAATTATGCGAATGTTTAGACAATCAACCAATCAAAATCACTACCCAGTTTTCGGGTAGTGAGTGACGTCACTGGACGGCATTAACGGTCCGTCGATTCAGACGTTGTTGAGAGGAGAAAACGACTCGAAGAAATCGGATGAATTTCAGGCTAAAGTTCTAATTCTTTCCTTTGAACTCAAATTCGTATGTTTCTGACCAGAGGATGGACTCTTTTAAAGGGCACGAGTAGTGTCAGTTGGTTTGTATCTAAAGCACCGAGCATGCTGCTGTAGTACTCACATGTACAGTCACTTTTCCGCCAGTTCTCCCGAAACTTTTCTGGGCCCAGTTGTTTGAAGGCCGATTATCGCTTACCCGGGGTCAAAAGTATTTTCTTGGATAATTTTCTCTTTTCATTTTTGGAGCATCCAATAATCAAATTGTGGAAAAAAAAAATAAAGTGAATTTGCTTTTCAAGCTTTCATATCTGCATTCAAATTTTGCGCTAAACCCAGCTTTGAACAACTCACCTCTGCTGGACAAACAGTTACAGAATTTCATTTGCATTTTCAATCCAAATGTCCCCTAGAAAAAGTTGTTCACGCAGTCGTCTATAGTACATACAACTTTAGTATCTGTGCTTGCAGTTTAATCTTAATGTCCCCAACTATAACGTCAATCAGTAGAAATAGCTGTTGGTCTTTCTTTTTTTTATTACTTTCATTTTCGTTTTTCACCCCAGTGCCATCAACCATCCACCCTTTGCAAAACAAGACAATAACTGAAGGTGGTAACTTGAATCTGTCTTGTAATGCATCTGGTACTCCTCCGCCAGTCGTGTCATGGGTGAGGATCAGCACAAGTCATCGCTCTGATGGTAGTGTGTTACAACTCACGAATGTAAGCAGGAGCGAAGCTAGAGACTACAGATGTGAAGCCAGCAATGAGTGTGGTAATGCATCAGAGGCACAAAACATTGATGTGCAGTGTAAGTAATGAACGGAGTTCACCAAATTCTGCCATATCGTTAAGGGGGCTTTGGCAACCAGGTCGGCGACGATGGCAAAAACGTCACTTAAAAAGTAAACCGGTCCTCTTTCAAACATCATCGTTATTATTCCGCTGTGTTCAATTTGTCAATTTTGCTTGATTTGACGTCTGTGGACTATATCTAACTTCAGAAAAAAAATCGTTTGTTTTGATCACGTCCTCTATAAAACGCTAAATTAAGAATTTTCACGTCGCAGTTGTACAACGAGGTCAGGAAATGTAAAAAAAAAAAAACCAAGAGAGATCAGAAAGTGTGATGTACCTGCAAAGCTGGACTCTAAATCAGAAAGATCTGTTTTAGCCCTAAAAACAGGGCCGTTTCGGTGAGTAAAATACAGTCCTATTTTTGGGTCTAATTTGGCTGCCTTAAATCAGGGCCAATACAGTCCAATTAGCTAGGGCTGATTTGGTCCCAGGGCTGAAATGGGCCCTACCGTGGGCTGGAATAGCCTTTTGATAGAGCTNTTATTATTCCGCTGTGTTCAATTTGTCAATTTTGCTTGATTTGACGTCTGTGGACTATATCTAACTTCAGAAAAAAAATCGTTTGTTTTGATCACGTCCTCTATAAAACGCTAAATTAAGAATTTTCACGTCGCAGTTGTACAACGAGGTCAGGAAATGTAAAAAAAAAAAAACCAAGAGAGATCAGAAAGTGTGATGTACCTGCAAAGCTGGACTCTAAATCAGAAAGATCTGTTTTAGCCCTAAAAACAGGGCCGTTTCGGTGAGTAAAATACAGTCCTATTTTTGGGTCTAATTTGGCTGCCTTAAATCAGGGCCAATACAGTCCAATTAGCTAGGGCTGATTTGGTCCCAGGGCTGAAATGGGCCCTACCGTGGGCTGGAATAGCCTTTTGATAGAGCTTTTTTGGCCTAAATTGTGCTCAAATGGCTCCAAGAAGGGCTGAATCAGACTTTGGCCTGCAGGGCTGAATTGACACTTTAAGGCTGAAACAGATCTTTTTAATTTACAGTGTGGTGTTTTGCTCATCTAATCCTATATTGCTCTTTTACCGTTTCCGTTCCCGTTCCCGTTCCCTTTCCCGTCGCTATCGTCGTTGTTTCAGCACCCTGCTAAGCTTTCAGTCTGTCTGAATATACAGCGTCGCGTTTCGGGGGAAGAAGAGAGAGAGCCTGAGTACGAGTTTTTTTAGATTGACATCACATTGACATCATCTGTTTAGCTCTTTTGCCCTTCTAAAAAACAAGCGCTTTACACGAGACGATGTTGAAGGGAATTGAGCACTTTCATAAATTTTGCATTGAAATGAACGTGACTTAGACGAAATTTGATTGCCCTGTTCTCCAAAGCCCATTGAGCAGTAATCCAGGGTTGAATTTGTTTTCACTGTGTTATGGATTATTTGTGGACCTTTCGTAGACTGTCATTTTTGGTTTACCGGACCGTTTCTCTGACTAAAGACTCACAGGTTTTTATGAGCTGTTTTATTAGGGGATTTTCTTTTAGAAAATAGGACAACGTTTTGTCTGATGTTCACTGTAATACATGGACTGCGATGGCGACACAATTAAGCGGACCAACGGCTTAAGAGTAGCATTAAAATTATAGTGTCTTTTGGTGGTTGTCTGATTATTGTTTCCGTTTTTATCTTACATATATGTATGTTATACTGCTTTGGGAGAAAATCCCATATATCCAAGTGAATGGCGTCTTTTGGCCAATGTTTTGGTTTTTTCCTAGCTATCATGCCGCATCATATGTTGATTGAACTTTGTCATGTAAATATAATTTTTTTTTCTTATAGACAAGCCAGAGAACGTTCAGCTAACAACAAACGCCAGTGTAAACAAAGCATGCCAGAATGACATCTTGAAACTTAATTGTTCAGTCGGAGATGCCAATCCAGAAGTGACTTCATATCAGTTGTTTCGAAATGGCACTGATGTTGGGGAAAGCAACACAAGAATGTGGGTTAAAACACTGTCAACCAGCGGCCTATCGGTGTACAAATGTGTGGCAAACAACTCCGTGGGAAGTTCAGAAAGCCCGAGTGTTTCCATCACCGTTAATGGTAATCATGATTTTCGCTTTTTAATCTCCCCCTCTCTTAACCCTGCCAGCAGAGCCTTTCTTTTATTTTAAGGACTTGTCAGAAATTGGCAGGGGGGGTGGGGGGGGGGGGAATTTTAAATTTGGGTTGGGA